TCGTTTGGAGAAGCAAAATGCATTCGTTACGCCTTCCCATGTATTTCGGCCGGATTAGAGAGGGTAAAACCGCTCTGAATTTGGGAGTTCTGCTGCAGGACGTTTCTGCAAAGGAGAAGCGTGGCCAAGAGGTGGGGAGACTGCGAGCACATTTACCCATAGCTAAGCTAAACAAAGCAAAGGAAAAAGGCTACATCTCTTCTTTGGAGGAATATAAACAGAGCTAGGACGCCTCGATAGCCAGCTTTTATATATACAGATGGCGTGCGAAGGGAACTGTTTATGTTACTACAGCTAGTCTCCAAGAGGTCAAGTTCTAAAGTATCTAAACTGTTGTCTTTTTGTACAGGGTTTTGCTTGGGAAAAAAAAAAATAATAAAAATTGCAGCCGGCCATTTACCTTGCCAATAGTGTGAGTGCTTATAATTAACAGGGGAGACGTGTGCTAAAAGGAATTTGCGTCAAGAGTAACTAATTAAAATATTACACGATGGCTGGCTTCAATCGCTGCTGCTCCTCTCGCCTGGGAAGGGTGAAGGGTGTTCCGGCTCGAGCAGGAGAAAATGTCTCAGGAATTAAGACAGGGTTCGGTAAACCTGGGGGTTGATTACAGTCTACAAAGGCTTATTAGAAAAAAACTAGTAATAGGAAATTCTCAACCTTATTGCCCTCGAAAAGCGCAAACCGCTCTCAACTTTTCCAGTGAAAATAAGGCCATAAGGCGATAATTCTTCGCAAAATTGACCAGGAATGCAGCTTCAGGAAAAAAAAAAAAAAAAAGTGCTTATTGTTTGAGTGTTAAATGTTTAGGGCTTGGAATTTCTTTACTGTTGTTTCTTCTTTTCTGTTTGCCTTTATGTCCGGTTGGAAAGTAGCCTTTGGTTTTATTTATATTTTTATTTTTTTTAACTAAATATGTTCCTGTAACACTGCAATAGGAGTGTGTTTCAATAGTTAGCTAAAATGTTTATCATAATTTAAATAATAGCTAATATTTTTAATCGACGAGATGGAAGCCCCGTGCTGTAGTATGGAATAGAATATTTATCGTCCACAACCTGAATCTGTACGGTTGCGATTTTTCTAGGGAACTGCAAAATACGTCTGAAGAGAAAGGGCGTATGTACACACGATTCAAGTCAAAGTTATTCTGATTCTTTTTGTTGTATTTAATCGCGTTATCTTATTTTAGAGGCTTGAATATCTCAAAAGGCTGAGCTCATCTGGCCGGAGAATATGTTAGATTGATTTTTAGTATCGATTCCGAAATCCTTTCCTCCATCACCTTCTGTGTCTTTTTAAGTCGCTGAGATGGAAAAGCTTCTGAGGGTGGCTGGGTTTCACCTCTTCCCAACCCTCACGTTTAGTTTGCCTATTAGGATTAGACTGCTGCAGACCTGTAGAGACCCATCGATGGCGACTAACCCGGCTATTTTGCACCCCTTGTAGATTCGAGGGCTCTATCTAAAGGCAGACCCTGATTCCGACAGCTGCAGCAAGCCAAAATACCGAGGGCTCTTTTTTTTTTTTTTTTCTTCATTCTTTCAAGACACGAAGTTACTTCCAGAGGGATAAGTTCCCTGTTTCGACTACTATTTTCCTGCCCTTTTGCAGCCAAACTGGCTGTTGTGACAGACTCCCGGCGCCTTCCCAAGCGCGGGGAGTCTTTCACAGCGCCCTCTTTCCCCCCTCTCCCGCTCCCCTCCCCAGGTCTTCTAGCCTTGCCTGCCCAGACTCCGGGGAGTTGAACCCCTCAAAAAATCGGTTTGTTTTATATCGGGAATATTTCATCTTTAGTAGCTTGCTCGTGAAAGAGAATGGAGGCAGTTTCGGCGATAAGGGGGATATGAGGAAATATTTTCTCAGACGGCAAAGTATATCAGAAATTGGTTGACTGACGGTGCGACCATAAATGTCTCTTTTTTTTTTTTTTTTTTTTCCCTTGAACGATCTGCGAGACTTCCCCGACACACGAATGCTCACATCCAGTCATCCATTACACACATAAACCGTCTATCCACATACAGGTGCAAAAGACTTCGGCAAAACTAGGCTGCGGGAGAGGGGTGTCTAGACCAAGCGGCTGGCTTAAAACGAGCGCGAAAGCAAATTTCCCTGGTTATAATCCGCCGGTACAGAAAAGCAGGCACTTCCCAGCGACTCCCACCCAGACGCACAAAACCCCAAGTCTTTAGCGCCGTTTGTAGGAAGCAGGCAACAGTCCCCTTTTGTGCCGATGTATCTTTATGTGGAATCCATCAAAATGGGTTAGGGAACATCCCCAGAAATCCCTCGAAAGTGCGGTGCTATTAAACGACGCGGTTAGCCCTACGGACAGCCACATCTCAAGCGATGTTCCCAAGCACAGTTCGCCCGCAGTCCGGAATGCTGCTTTACCCTCCACCTTAGGGTAAAAAAAAAAAAAAAAAAAAAAAAAAGTCCGCCAAAACATTCCCATGTCCATTTAGATTTAAAAGTATTGCTACAACAGATGCCTTGAACTTGACCTTAGATTTGTTAACCCAGGAAATATATTCAGTGAGAGGGGGAAAAAAATACTCCTGCATTGCCTCGGACAAATGAGCATTCTTTTCCCCCTACAAATTCAAGATGCAAACAACACACCAGAGTTATGAGATCTATAATGTGCCCTCTCGATTAAGAGCAGAAAGCTACACAAAGTGAAATATCTTAACGCCAAGACAAGCTTGTTATAGAGAGACTGTTCCTGCGATGCCAAGATCCACACTTTGCCACAGAAATTCAAGTCAAAGCAATCGACTTGGATTCTAAGCTAAATTGAATTTTATAGGATATAGGGTTCTCTCTAATCCACATTGAATTTTAACAATGATTTATAAAGGTATTTCCTTTTTTTTTTTTTTTTTTTTTTATTTTGCCCAACTCGCCAAGAAATACATCAGATTTACTGTACCATACTGCTAACTTTATAGGGGAACCTTATTCACATATCGTGAAACCCACCGAAGTAAAGGCATTTCTTCATCAAGGATTGTTTAAGGGGGCGGGTACAGGAAGTATCACTATACTGGGGCTGTCAAATCAACGACTTCAAAACCCCAACTTCATATTTTGATGGACTCTCAGAATTCCATTGCAATGAAGGTACCTGTATTTGTGTAACCATTATAGGAAGCTATTTGTCTAACACGAGCTTAAAATCCTCACTGCAGTGGAGGATGTGATCACATACCTCCATATAGCTCAGCCAGCTCTATAAAGACCCCTTCTTCTCCATTCTCTCCTATGTCACCCAAAGATACCCATAAAGAAAGCACTCCCTCTAAGCCTAATATCGCTGCTCTTTCCTATACCGGGGTGGAAACCTGCTAACGGTCCCGCTTATTTCCCCTTTCCTGACTTTCCAACAAAGGCTGATACTAATATCACTCCTTACAGCAATCGGGGCACATCAACACGACAGGTCCTCACTGTAGAGGCCGGGGGAATTCAGGCAAAACCCCCTAATCAGACCGGCCTCAGTGTGTTGGTTACTCCTTTCTCTTTCGGCTTTACTTTCCTGCCAAGTGTTCGTACAGCATGGTATTTTCATTTTACAAACCTTCTCGTATTTAAACATAAACCAGCCACTAGCTTGAGAGGATGTCCATTCAGGATTGCTTTGTATTAAAATCCATTATCTTTTATGCCTACCCGAGGGCATCTCGAACGCTAAAACCAGACTCAAAACACCCTGCTCTTCCATTGCTCCTCTCCCAGGCCGACTAGAGGGGCCGATTTATGCGGTCAGGAATAAATGAAAGCAGTTTGCTTGGTGCGTTTAAATCAAAGCGATCACGATGAAATCCTGATTAATTTAAACTAGCAGGTTATATCTCCTGGCTGGCATTTTCCTCTCTAGATACACACAGACAATGGCGAAAAGAAGACAGGTTCAACATGCTTCCCCTGCTTTCTTCCACACATAGCCGTCCACCCTCCTCCTCATCTCTAGAATGGTAAAAATAATTTCAGAGGCAAACACATGTCAATAAACCAGTCGGAATTAAAACCCAGGAGCCGCTTTTCCATGCAACCAGACCCAAATCTGCAAGACACCCCGGCGCAGCACAAAGCCAAGCAAACAGCAGCTCTTATATACAAGTCTGCCCACATCTTGGGCTCTGACCCCAGCTTCTTCTGGTTCATTTTCCTGCCAGGAGCCTTCTTTACGTTCTACCTATGCTACAATGGGAAGCAGCACATCTGAGAAAGGTGGAGCCAGAATCCAAGCTATGAAAAGCAATCTTACTTTTCTCAGCGGGCTCTTCGGCTCTCTTTGCCCAAGCAGCCTTCTTCAACCAGGTCCCCGCAGGAGAAGCAGCACTTCGTCCTCCTACACCGTGGGAGAAAGGGAACGTGGTGGGGAGATAAAGGGGTGGACTGAGGGGGAGAGACGGGGCCTGGGAAACCCTCCAGAGAGGCCTTTCAAATGACCTTGCTCCAGTCATGCAAGGGGCTTTGCGGGAGGACCGGGTGGGTGTTTGGTGTTGGCTTGTTTGCTTAATTCACCACCGAGCCAAGGGGAGAGGAGAAACATTCGACCGCTTCCAGGAAGAGCATGAAAATCTTACCCCACCATCCAGAAGTCTCTCGCCTGTGCAAAAATATATCCCCACGGAGACTGACAGCTAGGATCCTGCGCTGGGCTGTAGACCTCCAGATCAATGAGGATGGATTGCTTATTATTTGGCTTTCCTCCTTTACAGATTAAATATACCCGGTCCACAAAACACTCCTTCACGATCTCACAGTGACTTGGGTTGCTGTTGATTTGTGGTTTTATATAATTTTTTTGTTCTAGTTGTTGTTGGTCTGTCTTTAGGCGAAGAGAAATCTAGCCACTAGGGCACATCGTCCTTCCTGCCAGCTTCAGGCAAAACGCAGCAATATCACAGGCTAATGACGATTATTGCTGGTATAATTACTATTATTACTGCTATTCGTTTTTCTCCTCTCTGTCTCTCCCGGTTCCCTAGGATTTCCGATGGCGATTTGCACACAAGGTGATTGCAGGAGGCTAAAACGCTGTCTAATTCCACGGATTCCCATCGTACGAGGAGGAGGGGGGGGAAAATAAAAAAAGAAATAAAAAGGAAAAAAAAATCCCAGTGTTTTTGATCACGGGACACCCGGCTGTTCCTCCCCAGTACAACCCGGGTCACCGTACAGTAATGACCGTGGGTTGTGCGCTGTAGGACTTGACCTTTCCTACGTAGAAGAGGGCGCTTTCCTCTACGCTACAGGGAGGGGAGGAAGGGGGGGGAGAGCGGTGGGAGGAAGAGAGATGCTCTCTTCGGGGATGTTTAATCACAGTTCAGATCTAGGAAGGGGCAAAGCTTCTGCCTTTCAGCACGCCATGTTGAAGCTGTTCACTGGAGGCGAAAAAGAAAAAAAAAAAAGAGAAAAAAATTCCTTTCTTCTTTTTCCTTTTTTTTTTTTTTTTTTCCCCTTTTTGTTTGAAAGGGGGTGCGGAGGCGGGAGGGAGGATAGAGGGAGGAGGAGGAAGAAAGACTTAATGAACATTTGCATTTCGTACCCTAATGAATCAACTGCATTCAAGGAGGAGGGGGCCAGGGAGGCAGGGAAGGGCTCCCGGCGTGGTTAAAACACCCGCGGTAGGGGCGCATCGGCCCGGCCCCCACAACCCTACGTCTCTGCCGTCCCACGCGGAAAAGCCAACCCCTGTCTCGGCCCCCCTCTCTCATTTTAGACTCCTTTAGCTGCCGAGAACGCGCAAGGCCATCTCTTCAAATCATCATTAAAGTGCATTAAAACACATCTCGAAGTTATGAATGGCAAAAAACGGCCTTTTAGCGCCTGCCAATTTTTTTTTTTTATTTATTAAACGCTGTCTTGATTTTATTGCTAACGCTGCCCACGGAGAATGCTGAAATGCATCAGGAATGAGCTTTTATTTAAGCCATAACCATTTTTTTATTTTTGAAATAACTAATTTATAGGCTAAAGGCTGAGATGCTTACCCATTCTTTCAGAGGCATACAAAATCAGGGCAGTGCTCTGGAAGCTATGGGAGATTTTCTTTCCTGAGCATGTCGGTATTGAGCACCATATTTTTTCTGTTTGCTGCTGATGCCATTTCGCCTACCGAGGGTTTTTAAGCAGGAGCCTTTCCTAGCAGAAGGAGGCCGAAAAAGATACAGCTTTGCAGTTCTACTTATTCTTTTCAGAAATATGCTCCTGTCAAGGTTTATTTCCCATAGCAAACCACCTTTGCTACTGCCAAGAGCTCGAGGAGGGGATAGATTAAATACCGGCTTATTCTCTTGGTGGGAAAAAATACAAAACATTTGCTGTACCCGCCCGCCCGCCTCAGAGCAGTAAAGGCTACTGTCTGCCCATGGGAATTCTAAAGCTGAAGGGCCAAGGGAGCCCAGAATTAGGTGATTTTAACCTGCTCAAACACTGGGAATCAATGTAGACATTGATGAATCCCGCAAGAATTACTTGAAATGAAACTGAACTAATCTTTTTTTTTTGTCTTCAATTATGTTTTGCATTTTACACGGCGAATGAAATACAGCTCTGACATTAATGTTTCTATATATAAACTCAATATGCAGTAATAATTTTTCTCCTCTGTCTTTGTGTCCCTCTGCACAACCACTTAAATATATCAAATATACTGAATATTTTAATTTCAGGAGAGCTGAGAAAATAGAGACCCTACTTCGGGTTATGAAAGCTTTGTTTTTTGTTTTTTTTTTTTTTAATTTTGTGTTTGCTTTCTTTTCAAATCCTTCTTCCGGCATTTTTATTTATTTATTTTTTAATGTCTGCAAGTAAACCTCCTCGCACATATAACTCTGCACAGTGGGCCAGGCACAGTAAGTTCACCACCACCATTTAAATACGTTCTCGGTAACGTGGGGAATCTAATAATAATTCTGCCCGAACCGCGTGCAGGGATGGGCTTCGTGAGGTAATGTATCACTTTGCTTAATTATTTTCGTTGGTGACATATTTACTTGCAAAACTTATTAGGGATGTATTTTAGGACGCTGGCGGCGGATTAGTGAGAGGGGAATATGCAATACAACAGCAATTTGTACTTGAGAATGTATGTGCCAACAGCTTTTGGATGGTAAATGAAGGTAATAAATAACACGAACACACACACCCCTACCCACCCTCTCTCCCCCACGCTCCGAGACCACACCGACCCGGCCGAGGGACGGAGGGATGGGAGCGCGGTGTGCAGCCGTGGGTCGCCAGACATGCGGTGAAACCGATGCGAGGGCGGGTAGGCCACGCAAGACTCGCACACAGGGAATCTTTCGCGGCTCGTAAAACCTCAGACACAAGCATTTAGGTGCTCTGAATCTGCGTTGCAGAGGGTTTCGCCAGGCACCCCGCTCCCCGCAGTCCCCTCATCTTGGGTTCCCGGAGTTCCCGGCCTTTACTCACCTGACCCAGCCACTCGCCCCCCATGGGACATTTTCCGAGCTCGGCTTCAAGTCGGGCCCGAAGAGGTGGCAGCAGGTACGAGAGGAGCCGCTGGCAACGCGGGACCGAGCGTGGAGCCTCCTGAGCAGAGCCGCCGCACGCCCGGTTGTCAGGGGGAGACACCCCGGCGGGATAGGGGAGCTCCGCAGCCAGCCCGATCCCTCTTCCTGGCAGGGACTCTCGGTTGCAGGGCCGGGAAACACGACCTGCTCCTCCGGTTGAAACTTGCGAGAGCCTCGACGCTGACTTACATGGTAGCAGGGGTCCAATCCAAAATGTTACCTTACTCCTGCCAGCGATCGCGAGTCAAACGCTCCCGTTTTTACCCTGTGAAATATATATGCGGCAGAGCTATTTGAACAGTAGTGGGAATTTAAATTCGCTAATCCACGGTCAGTCTACAAATGTTTAGCAGATTTGAACGGTAGGTAGTTCAGTCTGAAAACAATCTTCAAACGCTAGCTCCGATTAAAAGTTACCATTAAAGGAAAAAAAATACCAACAAAATCCAGACCCCTGTTATTTTACTAATGTCGGCCATATTCTCGTTGTGGGTTTCTTTCAAGGAGAATTATATCGCTCTGGGGCATGGTGTGAAAATAGAAGATCCTGTCTAAGATACGAACGATTCGAATCCTGCCTATCTCCCCCATCTCCGACCTGCAGTACATGTAATTTGCGGCGTGTCTCACGCAATAATTATACAGGTTGCGAAATATAGCGGAATAAACAGAATTATTCACTCAGAGAGAGAACAAGTGTAATTCACAAGTGGCTTTCTCCAGGCAACTGAGCTCCTTCAGAAGAAAGAGCTGCAAAGAGACGGAGGAAAGGCGGCCGTCCGGTGCTTGCAGCCAATACAACGGGCGGGTATGCACCCGCGGGCGTCAGGTACAGCCGGTGGGAGACCGGCCAGAAGAGCCAGTCTTTGACCCCGCGCAGGGTGCAGCCGGGAAGAGAGGCTGCGGGTGGCTTCAGTAGCCCCAACCCCAGCGCGGCACTTGCTGCCTGCCTCAGCCCCGATGAAAGCCCCAGGCCGTGGGAGTCCGTGGATGCTGCTGGCTCCCCGAGTGCGAGGGGGTCCCACGCGGGTCCCTTGGCCCGTGTGCATCACAAGGCCCTACCTTCTAGGCACGGGATGTTGCCCCCTCGGGTGATGTGCCCGTGGGTCTTTGACCGTTGTTTCTCGCTCCGGCCGCAGGCCGCCGGCAGTCACAGTCCTCGTTATAAAGGGCTGTTCCCTGTCACCCTAGAGGGACACGGTGTCACCTCAAAGCACAGCTCAACTGCACGGCCTGGAAACCAGCTGCCATTTCTATATCTCTTCCCTCCTATTTTCTGAGCGGGATGGGGGAAATCTTGCCCAGAATATTACTGTCCTGCCTCCAAAGCAATGCATCCGAGATTCCCACGCTCCGCAGCCGCGGATTTTCACGGCTTGAAAACCCACAGCACTCCGCGGTCTCTGCTCACCCCGAAAGGCTCCCGCACACAGCAGGCAGGTTAAAAACCCGCACCGATGGAGTGCAAAGCCCCGACATGCCAGCCTCCTGGAAAACAGATTCCTCTCCCGCAGGTACTTTTCATGTAAGTTATTGCACGAACGCGTTACAGCCAGATCTGAGGGGCAGAAAGCGCTTAGAGCTGATCCCTGTCGAGGTGGCTCCTTTTGAATTTCACAAATGTAAAGCTAGAAGCACTCAAAGAGCGCGGTATCTGATACCCTCTAAATGCACCGTAAAGGTCCCCCCAGTAGTTCTAATTAGAGCTGCAGACCACCGCAGGAGACGGGAGGCGAAAGCAAACATCTCTTTGTGTCCGACCGAACTCTCCCGCCACTCACAGCACCGGCCGGACACCGGCGGCTCCTCGCCCTGCACCCTCATCCCCTCTCCGATTCTCACGTCTGGCTAGGGCTCACCGATGTCCTACCACCACTAGAAAGACAGAGAGAGCAGAGCACAATTTGCTCCGTGCTCTGTCTTGAAAACTCAGGCGTATTCTACGCACAAGGATATGCGGCTCCCACAAGCGTGCGCGCCCGCCGGCGGGGAAGATGCGCGGGCGCGGTCAGGTGCGGTCGCAGCACTGCAGTGGCCACGAGGTGGCGCTGTCGGCCCGCAGATGCCTCCGGCGCGTGTAGCTGTCAAAAGTCAAGGTCACAAATCGGCTGGTTTCCCCTCAAGGTCAAGGTTTCAGGCCTTGCCCGTCCTGTCATCTCCACGCAGCCCCCCCACCATACCTTCCCGACGAGGCACCGCTGGGCTGGGCAGCTTCTCTTGTCCCAAGGGCCGGCCACTGGCCTCCGTTTCCCGGCCAGGGCTGCAGTTCTGCACGGGTATCATCCTGCACTTCCTCCCCCCTGGCCCCCAGCCCTCTGCAAAACCACTGCTCAACATTACTGAAATATTTATAGTTTAGGAACGCTGCTTATCAGGCGTGCCAGCCCTCAGATAAACACCATCCAGAAAAAAAGAGCCCACCACATACACATAAGCTATGTAATGGAAGACAACAGTATTAAAATTGTAAGATAGACACATTATATAAGTTTTTTTTTTTTTTCTGATGAAATGCACGTAGGTATGAAAAAATAAAGAG